GGGAGGACGCGCGGGGGTGGGGCCCGCTCCAGGCAGAGCCAGGGAGAGACCCAGCCCCACAGAGCGCTGGAGCAGGGCCCCGGCTCTTAACTCGCCGGCACTTCTGGGTGCAGGGGCACAGGGCCAAACGGATCGAATTGGCCTAAGGGACGGCAGCTGCCAGGCGTGCTGAGGCCCAGCAATTTTTTTCCGGGCCGCGGACCATAGTTTGGGAAACGCTGATCTAGTGTCCAAGGGCAAATCAGTTATAGTCCACTGAATATATTAATGCTTCTATTGTTTGGGATTTTTCCCATAATGCAGGAAGACTCACTATTGATTGACACAGAATGTATAAATATATTACCAACTGGATACATCTATGACTGAAAGTGGCTGGCTGCTGCGGACAACCTATGCATGATCACACGCTGCCCCCACCCCAGCACAATCCTTACAACTCCCTTTGGCCAGTTTCCATAGGTCACACTAGTGGGTACAGGCAGCTTGCAGAGCTCCCCTGCCCCCATGATGTGTACCACACAGACACACACATGCTGGCCCCAGTAGCCAGCCACTTTAGCGGCGTATGGGAGCACGGCAGGCAGGGAGTCTACCTGCGAGTCCTGCTAGGCTGCTGGCCAGCAGCTGCCTAGGGTAAGTGCCTACCAGCCAAAGCTTGCACCTAACCCCCCCATACCTTCCTATACTCTAACTCATGCACCAGTTCACTACTCAAACCCTATGCACTCTCTCTCACACCCTTACCCCTGCTCATAACTCCTTCCCAGGCTCTGCATCCCCTCCTATACCCCGTCCCACATCATAATCCTCTCCTGCATCCAAACCACCTCCCAGCCCTGCACTCCCCTCCTGAATCCCATTCTCTGGACCAGGTCACAACTCCCTCCTTCACCCAACCTCCATCCCAGACCCTGCACCCCCTCCATTAATATCACAGAAAAGTCGCAGGGGATAGCCATTTTAGTCTGTAACTTTAAAAAGAACATAAGAACAGCTATACTGGGTCCATCTCTCCCAGTGTCCTGTCTGCCGACAGTGGCCAATGCCACATGCCCCAGAAGAAGTGAACAGAACAGGTAATCATCACATGATCCCTCTCCTGTCATCCACTGCCAGCCTCTGACAAACAGAGGCTAGAGACACCATTCCTACCCATCCTGGCCAATAGCCATTGATGGACCTAACCTCCCTGAATTTATCTAGTTCTTTTTTGAACCCTGTTAACGTTCTGGTCTTCATAATCTCCTCTGTCACGGAGTTCCACAGATTGACTGTGCGCTGCATGAAGAAAACTTCCTTTTGTTTATTTTAAACCTGCTACCTATACATTTCATTTGGTGACCCCCTAGTTCTTATATTATGGGAACAAATAAATAAATTTTCCTTATTCACTTTTTCCACACCAGTAATGATTTTATAGCTGTCTAGCAGATCCCCCCACCTTAGTCTCCTCTTTTCTAAGCTGAAAAGTCCAAGTCTTTGTAATTTCTCTTCATATGGGACCCATTCCAAACCCCTAATCATTTTTCATTTTTTTCTTTTTTTGCCCTTTTCTGAACCTTTTCCAATACCAGTGCAGGTTGGACCTTCCTGGTCTGGCACCCTCATGAGGGATTGTGCCAGACCCGGGGAGGTCATTTTTGGACCCCTGCCACTGGCCCCCCTGGTCCAGCCACTGGCCTCCCAGCTGGCTCCCCTACCTCCTGCTGGTCCCTTTGCCCTGCTGGCCCGTTGGCCAGTCATCGCTTCTGTGGCTCCGTTAGGCAGCCTAGTGTTAGGGCTACAGGCACCCGCACGCCCTGTGTGCTAGGACTCCAGACAGCCACACATCCCGGGGCTTTCTGAGCAGCCATGACGGGGTTCCATGAGCAGCCCCGCGCATCACATGCAGGGGCTCCCCGGGCAGCTGCACGCGCTGGGGCTCCCAGCCCCCACTGGGCAGCCACACGCAAGGTCTCCCAACCCCGCTGGGCATCCCTGCTACCACATGCTGGGTGGCCCTGCCATCAGCTCCCTGCATGCAGCCCACTGCCCTGCTGGCCCCCCAGGGATCCTTACTGTCGGCCCTCCACTGGGACTCTCTGGTCCAGCAACATCCATCCTGGATCATGGATGTTGCCGGACCAGAGAATCCTGGTTAAGAGAGTTTCAACCTGTATATCTTTTTTGAGATGAGGCGACCACATTCTTACATAGTATTTAAGATGTGGGCTTACTATGGTTTTATATAGAGGCATTAAGATATTCTCCATCTTATTCTCTGTCCCTAACAACAAGCTGTCCCGTGGTACCTTAGGGTGTGTCTACACAGCAAAGTTATTTATTTCAGAATAACGGCCATTATTCTGAAATAACTATGCAAGCAGCTACAGAGCAATTCCGTTATTTCGAAATAATTTTAAAATAATAGACGGTTTATTCCGACTTCTGTAAGCCTCATTCTATGAAGAACACCACTTATTCCAAAATAGTTATTTCGGAATATGGGCTGTGTAGACGCTCCACTTCCGCTATTTCGAAATAGCCCCTCACCAGAGCCATTCTAAGTTATTCCTCCTGGGGCTCTAAATCGAGATAGCTCATCTACATTAGGGAAGCCTGTTTCAAATTAATTTTGAGGCTTTCCTGCAGTGTAGACGTGCTATTTTGAAATAAGCTATTTCAGAATAACTATTCTGGAAAAGCTTATTCTGAAATAACTGTGCAGTATAGATGTAGCCTTAGAGACTAACAAATATATTAGAGCTTTCATGGGTATGGGTTTATGGGGAACATTTTAACTTCCCTGGACAATCAATAATGGATTTAAAGCAGCCATTCTTATACAAAGGAATTTTATCACCCAATTACAGAGGGAGACAACTGAACTGGAATTCATTTACAAGTTCAACACTATCAACTTTTAAAGATATTAACTGGTTAATGCCCCACAAAGGCAATTTCCCTTGCCTTTGATATTCACATTTCCATATCAAAAGCTATGAATGAGACACATCCAGACTGACTTTATTAGTTTCATTAACACTGGTCCTACAATTGATAAGTAACTGTTTTTGCTGTTATGACGACCCTGGATTCTATAATTTCCATTCCAACTCATTTGATTAAATGGGTTTTATTACCCCCAAAAGCTCATGCTCTAACATATCTGTTAGTCTCTAAGATGCCACAAGACAGGTCATTGATCATAGAAAAGCGTGGCCCTTGACTACTTACCTAACTGTTGGAGTGGCCCGCTTGCAAAAATTATTGCTCAACACTTATTTATATTGCTTAAACATATCCAAAAGAACAAACAGAAGGTAAGTTAATAAGAGAGTATGTGGCCTGGGTGTAACATGGACATTTGAAAAATAACATGAAAAATATGTATGGAGGGGGAAGACATGCAGAAGCAGAAGACAAAGTAAGTTTGAACAAAACCACACTGTCCTTATAATTCACTACTTTTAAAGTAAACGCACTAATAAATAAAATGGGGAGAGGAACGACTGTGATAATGCAAGAGCACACTTCAGCAAAAGAGAAGGAAAAACTTAAAGTGAGAACTGTTGCATTCATATTAAACTGCACAGATCAACAAAAGGTACAGTATTGACAGATGTGAATACACTACGCGTTCTGATTACATTGATTATGGTAATACAAAATTGACAAATTTCAGAATGTTTTTGTTTTTAAACCTTATTGTTCAGAAAACACAAAACATGGGTTAATTAGATTACACATTACCTGAGGAACTTCAACAGCTGACATAGAAAAAACATGAAGACAGAAAATCTTGGAGCCATTGTATCCCACCACAAAGCCTTGAAGTTTTTGCTGATGGACAGGAAAGTTACTAGCTTTGATGTTGAGGTAACCCCCTCCGGAAAAGCAAAGCATATCCTCACATTGAGTATTCCAAGCCACGCTATTAGCATTCGGTTCCTAATGAGCATATTATACGGGTGATTAAAATTACTGTGCAACAGACAAAATTAGATCTTTTCCCCAAGCAATCACTGTCCTTCAGCTAAGACAACTGATTGTTATATCCTGTATAAAGTATTTTTTACAATAGTTCTTTACGTTTAGTAAAGTACAGGTACTTCAAAGTTTAAAATATTGACACATTTTCACAGCACTTGTTTTATGCTTATTAAATTGCTATAATTGTGCCTAATATGTTTCCTATGTATCTCTCTCATTACCTTTACTTACACATTAAAATTAAATTCCTTCCACAGACAGACACTGGTTCTTAGCTATCAGAAAAGAACGGTTACTTACCTGTAACTGTTGTTCTTCGAGATGTGTTGCTCATGTCCATTCGAAGTAGGTGTGCGCACCGCATGCACCGCGTCTTCCGGAGCGTTTTCCTTAGCGGTACCCGTAGCGCCAGCAGGGCGCTCCCTGGAGTGGCACCGCCATGGCGGGGCATAAGTACCCCTGCCGGCGCTGCCCCACCTCAGTTCCTTCTTGCCGGATACTCCGACGAAGGGGAGGCAGGGTGGAAGTAGAATGTACATGAGCAACACATCTCGAAGAACAAGTTACAGGTAAGTAACCGTTCTTTTCTTCTTCGAGTGGTTGCTCATGTCCATTCGAAGTAGGTGACTACCAAGCTAACCCCACGGAGGAGGGATAGAAGCAGTCATACCACCAGAGTCATGAAGAGAGGTGAACAATAAATGGATTTATTCGAACAATCCAACACTGATAAGGCACATATTAAGAACGATGACAACAGGACATATCTACATATTTACATTACAGATTCGAGGACTTCAGAGGCCACCCCTGCATCCTCCCTCGCCTGCTGTACTAGCGCATAGTGCGCTGTAAATGTGTGAAGGGAAGACCATGTGGCCGTCCTGCAAATTTCCGTGATTGGTACCTGGGCACCAAAAGCCACCCAGGACGCCTGTGCCCTGGTAGAGTGTGCCTTCACCCTGGGTGGGGTTTTACCAGCCAGTTGATAACATTCTGTGATGCATTGCACCACCCATCTTGATAGCCTTTGGATAGCCTTTGTGTCGATATAGGCGAGCCTTTCACCCTGTCCCCAAACGCAACAAACAATTGTTGTGATTTACGGAACGGCTTGGTTCTGTCAATGTAGAACGCCAGTGCCCGCTTAGCGTCCAGGGAGTGAAGCACCCGCTCCTTAGGGGAGGCATGAGGTTTTGGGGAAAAAAACGGGAGATAAATCTCCTGGGACAGGTGGAATGGTGACACCACCTTTGGGAGGAAGGCTGGATGAGGCCGTAGCCTTACGTTGCTATGTGAAAAAACAAGGTAGGGTGGGTCTACAGTAAGCGCCCTTAGTTCCGACACCCTTCGAGCCGATGTAATGGCCACAATGAAAGCAACCTTCAACGAAAGGTGCTACAGGGAACACGTGGCCAGCGGTTCAAAGGGGGGGTAACATAAGCCTGTGGAGGACCACATTGAGGTCCCAGGCAGGACCCATACTTACATGCCCTTACAAACTCCCAGAGATTTCTACCTTCCAGTCTCAAAGAGATGGTGTTAGCTATGTTAGGTGTTGCCAATTCAGTGCCAGACAGAGTTCTGAGCCACTAGACCGAAGCTGGAAAAGATAGTCAAGAATAGTTGGAATAGGGGCCGAGGACGGGTGTACTCCTCTCCGGGACGCCCAAGACGAGAAGCGCCGCCACTTGGCAGCATACGACCATCTAGTAGAGGGTTTCCTGCTACTGAGCAGCACCATCTGGACCTCCTGGGAACATTCCCTTTCAGGTTGGTTCAACCACGGATAAACCAGGCCGTTAGGTGGAGAGACCGGAGATCCGGGTGAACCACGATCCCCTCGTTCCAAGGTTGAGTTAGCAGGTCCCGGACTGGAGGGAGTGCTATTGGATCTTGGGTAAGCATGTCCACTAGGATGGGGAACCAGAACTGCCTGGGCCACCTGCGGGCTATGAGAATGATCGAGGCCCAAAATGTCCTCGCTCTGGTCAACACCCTGGAAATTAGGGGGAACGGGGGAAAAGCATAGAGAATGCCCTCTGGCCACACGGTCGTCAGGGCATCCCCCAGGGAATATTTCCCCAGCCCCAGCAGGGAACAGTAGTTCCGTCACTTGGCATTGTGTGCCGAGGCGAACAGGTCTAGGCGGGGATAACCCCACCTGCAGAAAACCTGACGGAGAACAGAGTCCTTGAGCGACCACTCATGCGCTCCAAAGGATCTGCTCAGCGTGTCTGCTAGCAGGTTTTTGCACCCCGGGAGGTATTCCGCCTGCGGCATGATATCGTGCGTGACACAGGTGCCAGAGTCACAGGGCCTATTTGCAGAGGGGAGGCGAGCCCCACCCTGCTTGTTGAGATAAAATACCGCTGCTGTGTTGTCCATACGAACCAGGATCAAGCGGTGAGAGAGCCTTGGCAGAAAAGCTTCGCAGGCTCTCCTCACTGCCCGCAATTCCCGGACGTTTATGTGCAGGGTTCGTTTGGAGGGGGACCAGAGGCCTTGATTCCTGTACTGCCCTAGGTGTGCTCCCCAGCCCAGGTCGGACGCATCGGTGACCAGCGTAAGGGAGGGGGGAGGGGCACTAAAAGGAACCCCACTGTGTACCAGTTTCCTGGATCCACCATAGGAGGGAGTCCAGAATTTCTGGGGGCACTGTGATTATCGAGTCCCAAAGACCCCTGGATTGGCTGAAGGCCTGTGCCAACCACACCTGCAGGGGTCTCATTCTCATTCTGGCATGGCGCACCATGTACGTGCACGCCGCCATATGGCCCAGGACCCTGGAGCAGACCCAAGGGGTCATGATAGGGGACTGAATTAACCCTGAGATCAGCTCCACTATGGAGAGGAACCTGCTCTTGGGCAGGAACGCTCTTGCCACCTTTGCGTCGAGGAGGGCTCCCACGAATTCTATCTGCTGGGAGGGGGCCAGCGATGACTTTTCGATGTTTATCATGAGCCCCAACCTTAGGAAGAGAGCTCTTGTGAGTGCCACGTGAGCTTCTACCTGCTCGTACGAGCGACCTCGGATCAGCCAATCGTCGAGGTACGGGAACACGTGCACCCCCTGTTTGCGGAGAAATGCGGCAACCTCCGCCATACATTTTGTGAACACCCTTGGTGCCGTACACAAACCAAAGGGGAGCACCGTAAACTGAAAATGGTATTGGCCCACCATAAACCTGAGGAACTTCCTGTGGCTGGGCCTGATCGCCACATGGAAGTACGCGTCCTTGAGGTTGAAAGTCGCGTACCAGTCTCCTATCTGTAGCACTGGGATGACCGAGGCCAAGGTCACCATTCTGAACCTGTGTTTTATGACCACCTTGTTTAAATTTCAGCGGTCCAAGATGGGATGGACTCCTCCCTTCGGTTTGGGGACAACAAAATAATGGGAGTAAAAACCTCTTCCTCGCAGATGCAGAGGAACCTCCTCTATTGCTCCTTTTCCGAGGAGCGCAGACACCTCCTGACACAGGCGACCCTTATTAAGGCCGGATAGGGGGGTTTTGAGGGCGGTGGGCCCAGGAAAGGGATAGAATAGCCTCCATTTACTATGTTCAGAACCCAGGCATCCGATGTTATGAGGGCCCATGCCCATGCATGGGCAAAAAGGGATAGCCTAGCCCCAAACGGGGGGCCAGGGCGGGGGACTGGTACAGGACTCTCGAAAAGGGCGTCAAAATTGGGGCTTGCCCTGATGGGAAGGACCGTGGGGACCTCCCCGCTGGGTATTGGTCCTGGGGCGACAACGTCGACCCCATCCCCCTGGGGGTGCACAGCTGCCCCGGAACCTCCACCGGAGGCCTGGGAGCAGCTCCTCCAGTAATCCCCACGGGGAACCTGGGACTGCGCTCTCCCCTGCTGCCTATAGAGCAGCTGCCGACGCTGCAGGGCCGGCGGGTGGGGGCCCCAGGGCTTTAAG